AACAGTCCCCAGAGGGTGGAATCAAACCTGGGGTCTATGTGGCTCCAAAGATTAAAGAGCATGGGGGAGAAAGTGAGAATAGGGGACTAAGTTGGATGATCAGTCAGAATCATATTGAATGGGAAAACAGATTCAAAGACTTGTCGTATGAGGAGCAGTTGAGAACCCCGGGTTTGTACTTGGGAGTTTAGAATGATAAAACTTAGAGTACAGAGAGGTCTGGATAGAGTGGGCATGGAGAGGATGTTTTAACGACTAGGACCCAAGGGTACGGCCTCAGAGTGATGAGATGAGAAGGAATTTTAGCTAGAAGCTGGTGAATATGGAACTGATCGCAAGCTTCTGTGGTAGAGGCCAAGTCATTCAGTGTCTTGAAGACTGAGATAGATAAGTTCTTGATTAGTAAAGGGATCAAGGGTTATGGGGAGAAGGCAGGAGAATGGGATTAGAGGAACATATCAGCCATGATCGAATGGTGGAGCAGTGTCAATGAGCTAGACAGCCTAATTTTGCTCCTATACCTTCTAGTCTAAAAAGGGCCAAATGACCTACACCTGCTCTTACTTTCTATCAAAGGCACACACACAGATTAATGGCCTTAACCTCAAAGGGGTTGGAATAGGAAGGGAACAAATCATGGTTCAGATGTGCAAAGTCTCAGGCAGCACTCATCTGAAGTAGAGTGTTCAGTTCTGGGCAGTACCCCTCAGGAACATGTCACTGATCTTTGAGCACAGAGTCACTGGAACAATACTAAGCTTAGGAACACGAAGAGGATCAGGCCATATAGCCTCTGAAGCCAATTTCACCCCCATTCAATGGGATCTCGGCTGATCCATGTCCTATTGCTACATATCCCCACCTTTGCCCTATACCCCCTTATACCCTTGCTTCACAAAAACTGACCAACTGAAGGTTTAAAATGAGCAAATGTTTAAGCTTCAGCTGTGGTTCACAGGAGATTTCCAAATATCTACCTCCTTTTTGCGAGGAAGTGTTTCACAATTTCACTCCTGAGCAAAAGGTTTTGGTTAGTCTTACATTCTCCAGCGAGTGGAAAGAGCTTCTATTTGTGCCCCATCTACATTGCTCGGTTATATCACTCCGTGAGCTTGTAAATTCAAGGTCATAAACAGGACCTTAATTTCTACGCTTTCTCTCTCCCTCCAGGGAATTAAGATCGGCAGCCAAGTTTCATTCTCACAAACCCAAACTGCATACTCTCAGAAACCAAAATCTCTCAGTTCCTAAAAAGGAGGGGGAAAGAGAGTTTTTGTTTTCTACAGTCTAGGTAGACTGTAACTCTGGCTGTAACCTAGTGACAGGGCTGGCGCTCTGGTGAAAGACTGCGCTAATGTGGCCTGCATTCCCACATGTCAAACAACGCAGGGACAATCTGACCAACGTGCTTGGAACATTGAAAGAACTCAAAAGGGCTAGATGCTGTTTTGTCTGGTGAGGGACCACAGCATTACTCGGGCAAAAGGTGTGCAGGTGAGCTGGATTCACCATGCAATACGGCTCCTTAATAGAATCATAGAATCCCTATATTGCCGAAGCAGACCATTTGGCCCATTGAGCTCACACTGACCGTCCTGAAGAGCATCCCATCCAGATACATCCCTCTACCCTTTCCCTGTAACCCTGCATTTCCCACTAGCCAATCCACCTAACCTGCACATCTTTGTCCAGGGACATGCAGGTTAGGGTGGATTGGCCATGCTAATCATGTTTGGGATGCTCTTCAGAGGGTCTGTGCAGACTCGATGGGCTGAATGGCCTCTTTCTCCACTGTAGGGACACTGTAGGATTTGAGAAAGACTACAGTCCACATCTTCTACAGGGGAAGTTAACAAACTGGAAACAATCAGTCCCTACAGACAGAGTGCTTGGAGCTTACAAACCCAAGGAGATGTGGATCCCTGCTTGGACCAGGACACCACCTCTCCCAGCCCTCTAGCTCAGGCACCCAGTGACCAACACTTTGTCAGTAGATCACCAGATCCGTGGAGCCACTGTGAAGCTGCCTCAGACTGACCTTCAGAAGAGAAACTTCCATTGCGCCTTTGTGACATTAGCCTCCTGCTTGACACCTGAGCTCACTGGACTGAACTGTGGCAAACCCATTGCACATACGACACTTGTGGGGAAAGAGAGAGGAATGCTTTCAGCCTGTCAGTCTGCTCTGGATTCCAAACCTGCAGCTGGGCTTGACCCACCACAAAAACCACTCTCCCCTTCTGCCCTCCATTTTCACAAGGGCCTTAAAGAGGGGAGGGAAAGGAACTCTCAGGGAGTGACGCAAGGGAATCGGTGCTGGGTCCACTGCTATTTGTCATTTAAATAAAATAATTCTGATGTGAATATGGGAGGCGTGGTTAATAAGTTTGCAGATGACACCAAAATTGGAGGTGGAGTGGACAGTGAAGGAGGTTACCTCAGAGTACAACAGGACCTTGATCATATGGGCCAATGGGCCGAGGAGTGGCAGGTGGAGTTTAATTTAGATAAATGTGAGGTGCTGCATTTTGGAAAAGCAAATCAGGGCAGGACTAATACACCTTAATGGTAAGGCCCTGGGGAGTGTTGCTGAACAAAGAGACCTTGAGGTGCAGGTTCATAGTTCCTTGAAAGTGGAGTGCAGGTAAACAGGGCCGTGAAGGTGGTGTTTGGTACGCTTGCCTTTATTGGTCAGTGCGTTGAGTACAGGAGTTGGGAGGGTCATGTTGGGGCTGTACAGGACATTGGTTAGGCCACTTTTGGAATGCTGTGTGCAGTTCTGGTCTCCCTGCTATAGGAAGGATGATGTGAAATTTGAAAGGGTTCAGAAAAGATTTACAAGGATGTTGCTGGGGTTGGAGGGTTTGAGCTACAGAGAGAGGCTGAATAGGCTGGGACTATTTTCCCTGGAGCGTCAGAGGCTGAGGGGTGACCTTATAAAGTCAAGAGGGGCATGGATAGGGTGAATGGTCAAGGTCTTTTCCCCAGGGTGGGGGGAGTCCAAAACTAAAGGGGCATAGGTTTAAAGGTGAGAGGGGGAAAAGATTTTAAAAGGGACCGAAGGGGCAACATTTTCTGAGGTGGTGCGTGTATGGAATGAGCTGCCAGAGGAAGTGGTGGAGGCTGGTACAATTACAACATTTAAAAGGCATCTGGATGGGGACATGAATAAGAAGCGTTTAAAGGGATATGGGCCAAATGCTGGAAAATGGGACTGGATTAATTTAAGATATCTGGTCAGCATGGATGAGTTGGATGGAACAGTCTGTTTCTGTGCTCCAAGATGAGGCAGCAGCAATGACACTGCACACCATGCGTACCATGTGTGTACCATGCACACTGCACACCGTACATACCATGGAAGCTCTCCTCTGATCTAACCTGTAAAACCAGGAGCACAAAACCAGGAGCTTGGGTCAAGACCAGTGTCTATATTGGAACAGTTAATTAGTAATAGTTACTATATCTACTGTTAAGTTTTCCAATAAAGTTATTCCAATTCCTTCTTTGTTTTTTTTTCTATTATTGTATTTTATCTATAGTGTTTGAATAAATAGCATTTTACTTAATATCGAGTAGTTTGACCAGTCGCATTGCATCTGGGACAGAGCTTGTTACTTACCTTTGAAATAAGAAAGGGTTAGGGTACAGACTATCTTCTGAATATTTTGAGGGTGTTTGGTCTGGTCCATAAGCATAAACTGGGAGCAGCCTTTGTTATCAAAGCAGAACCTGCTATTGCTACCCAGCTTCCTCATTGAAAGAGGGATGCACGCTATATGCCACAGCTGATGTTCCAACCTTCCCAAACTGCCTTTTTCAAGCTGAATAGAGGGATTAGTACAACTGCTCCCTCTCCCCCCTCCACCAAATGCCCCGCAAGTGGATCTCCTTTGTGTAGGTGGTGCCCTACCCATTTATCAGAGCTCCCTGAATACGATGGGCACATAAACACAGGCAGGGTGACTGTTCAGATTGACAGGCAAGCGACTCCCTCCAGAACTAAGAATCTAATAATGACCGTGAATCCATTGTCAGAAAAACCCATCTACATCACTAATGTCCTTCAGGGAAGGACACAGCCATCCTTACCTGGTCTGGCCGACATGTGACTCCAGATCCACAGTGATGTGGTTGACTCTGCACTGCCCCCTGGGCAATTAGGGATGGGACAATAAATGCTGCCTAGCCAGTGACACCCTCATCCCGTCAATGAATAAAACAAAAAGCGTTTGGATGTATGATCACTGAATGAGGAGAGCACAGTAAATACAAACTTGTCGATTACTAGCTCACTTCTGCGCTGTGTCCGCTGGCATTACAGAACCCAAGTAATGCTGGAATAAACGCTCTCCAAGTTGTGTGACTGGCATGCATCAGCACAATTTGCAAGAAACGTCAACGCAATGGGTAAGCAGGATTTCTACAGGGTAAGAGGGCAGTGCCGATTGGCTGGAAAGTAGGCCCTGATTGGCAGAGATGTTGCCATGCAGAATGCAGTCGGATGAGTGCAATGCTTTGGAATGTTCAACTTGCCTGGTTTAATATTTCTGAAAAAAGTCATCTAACTGACACATTCTCCATGGCAACAGCTCTACCAATCAGAACCCACGTGTCAACCCACTAGCCCTCTCCTCTCACATCTGTATGTCAGCATTTCTTGCCAAATGTCCTGATGAATGCAAAGGTGAAAAGCATCGACAAAATGTCCTTTTGTTTATGCTTCTGAAAAGAAATGCTCGAGACACGGAAAAGATTCTGATTTCGCACACAATCCAGTTGGGTCAATTCTACATACTTCAGAGTCCGTTGCATTTGTTGGACAGAAGGTGAAAATGCGAGGTGGTAACAACTGGACGGGCTGTACTTTTTTTTTTAAAAAAAAGAGGCAGAGGGAGCGTAATTCTCTGTAGAGCTCTGGTGAACATCCCACACCTCCCTGCTACCCCCACCTCGGTACGGTGTCCGGCCCCTCCTCCCCACCCTGCATCAAGCCTTACCTGGGAACAAACTGGTTAGCTGGCCTCTTGGGTCTGTACTCTGGATGCACCATGAACAGCATGTGGGGGAAGCCTGTCCCAAAATAAGCTCCATCCGTGTGGTGATGTCGCGAGGACTTTGGTGTGTAAACGTCCATGCACTTGGGACAGTACAGCTTGACCATTGCCTCACCGGGGATATCAGACAGACCTGGGTGGTTGGGGGGGGGGGGGGGGGGGGGCTCAATTTCTGGCAGCCCATAAAGGAACCGGGTAAAAGAGGGGGCGGAGGAGAAAAGTGAA